AGATTTTCAAGTTGTAAATGCCTTAAATCTAATAAAATAATAAACATTAAGACGACAATTCAACTCATTTATCCATCGTCTTTTCCTCGCTTCATATTTTTGTCGACAATCGGAAGTTAGCGCAGTTCGAACCCGATCTTAATTAAGCGATTATGAAAAATATTCAAAATGCCATAATTCTGTCAGAAATCAATGAAGCGAAACGAAATTCAAACTTGATCTGTAACTCATTAAGATACACTCACTTACCAAAATTCAGCTTAATATCTGCAAGCGTTTAGAAAAAAAGTGCGGAAAACCAAGTGAGAATGAAAAATATTCAAAATGCCACAATTCTGTCAAAAATTAATGAAGCGAAACGAAATTCAAACTTGATCTGTAACTCATTAAGATACACTCACGTACCAAAATTCAGCTCAATATCTGCAAGCGTTTAGAAAAAAAGTGCGGAAAACCAAGTGGGACAGACTGACGGGGACAGACAGACAGACGGACGGACGGACGGACGGACGGACGCAGAGGAAACCTATAGTCCCCTCCGGTTTCACCGGTAGGGGACTAATAAATCCCTGAAATACAAAGAAATCGTAGTTTCCCTTAGTGCATAGATATGAGATTTTGTTAGGCCGTCTATATAATTCCAAACAAAATTTTGCACAATTTTTTAACCTTATCACAAAATCTATTATAATTCTCCCAAATTTACTTGGTTAACAGGTTCAGGTTGTCAATTTAAATGTAAATCTATGAGAAATAATGCTGTTTTCTGAAAAAAAGGTTGTTTGTGTTATTTATCCTTAACTGTCCCACTGACTGATCTACTGAGAAAAAGTCAACCCGCAGAGGGAAGTGCAGTCATTCAAGAAACTGAAGTAGGCCCTGATGACAAATCCTGTTTTGGTCAATTCGAACTTCAATTTACCGTTTATACTACAAACATATGCGAGTAATAACGCAATTGGGGCTGTCCTGAGCCAACAGTTGCCAGATGGTGATCACCCAGTTGCTTACCTTAGTAAGTTACTTCCGATGGAAAATAAAACTATTCAACGATAGAGAAGGTCGTATTACCTAGTGGAGAGGAAGTTTTACGTAGAAACAGATCACAATCCACTAACATGGTTGCATCGCTTGAAGAGTAAAAATCGGAAACTTTTACGTTGGCCCCTCGCTCTTCAATCGTACACCTTTGATGTAAGATATAAGAGAGGAAGCAAAAACACAAATGCAGACGGATTAGCAAGAATGTGTTTGTGAATTATGGGCAATTTTAGTGAAAATTTTCTTTTCATAAAATTCAAAAATGCATTCAGTTTGAATTTACAGTGAAATTCCTTCTGGATTTATATTATTCCATTGAGGATTGATTGCTATTAAGTTTTTAATACTTATTTTGACTGGCTAAAGTGAATTTAGTGACTGGTGAAATCTTATGTTGCAATATACAGAATTATGAACTTGAAAATCAAAGTACTGAAAGTACCGAGAAGCGGTTAGCATGCTTTCATCGATTATGTACAGTGAATAATAACAAAAAATGCATTGAATCATGATATTAAAGTAGGCATTCATATCTTTTTCCAGTGTCATCATCGAAGAAGCAGACACACTGAATTTTGTATTACTTAACTAAATGGTATAACCAATAACATCCCAGACTTATGTCACAAATTTTTGTTTCAAAATATCAACCTGAGATTTTCAGTTTGAAAGACAGGAATTCGAAGTTCAATTTCAAAAAATTCCTCCTAACTGTCTCCATTGGTGGTGTCCAAAAGTACTCAGAACGAAAAAAATATGTTGATGTTGCAAATTTAATTGACTTTCATGCTCTATTGATTCTGAAATTGGGTAACTGTAAAGGCTACTATAGCAAATAACTCAAAAAGAAAATAAAATGATAATTCAAATTCTTTAGATTAATTGATTTGGAGTACTGTACATAGATCTTTAGCTGGCTAGTCTGAGAAAAACGGACAGACGAGCAGAGAATTAATTAATTTCAGAGAGCTTCAGTTTCGTAGGCTCACTGCGGGTCAGCAGATGTGACCTGTCATTGGGGATGCTTACTTCTTCTAGGCACCAGAACTTTCAAGAGTCCGTTTTTCTTTTGAGACCGACCACTTTTCATTATGTTTTTGATACAGATACTGAGTACATCTGTTTATTAATATTATGAACTATTTCTCTCACAGGCAGAAAGACAAGTAAACAAGATAATAAAGTTTTAAGAAATGTACATCATTGACTTTTCATACGATTAAATGTTCGAATAAGTAAATGGAATATGACAATTATTTAAAAAAGAGTCTTGCATGATATGTATAAACGAACATATTGTGAGTATTTGGCAAATATTATTCTTGAAATATTGTAAAAAAAAAAAACGTGTGAAAAGGAAAGTTGTTGTTAAATCCATCAATGCTAGTATTTTTAAAAATTCAAAAGTTCACTAAAAGTCAGTGTATAACAAACAATTTAATTGTCCATTGCAAGCAATACATTGTTTTGTTTTGTTTTTTAGTAAAAACAGTATGCGTATTTCTATCAATATGTCTGTAAGCATCTGTATTTTAATTTTTATTTCTTCTCAAAGGCTCAAAATGATAATTAACGAATTGGACAAATTCAAATTAAAAAGTAGTTTTACAACTTATACATTGCATATGAATTTAGCAAAGTTTCAACTTATACATTGCATATGAATTTAGCAAAGTTTCAACTTATGCATTGCATATGAATTGAGGAAAGTTTCAAAAATAATCATTCATTAGATATAATTTTCAATTTGTGCTTATCGTTAAGATTTTTAATTAGTTAGTATTACTTAAGTTAATTAAAGGGATGCCTTAATATTTTAGTAAATGAAACTCGATCGAGAGATTCTCCGATGTTTTGCTGTCGGTAATAACCTTCAACCCCTTTAGCCAGTTATTAACCCGTCCTCCTTGTGCCCCGTAGCATAATTCGGTCAAATACTTATTGTTCATGAGGGGTGCCTTATAATTAATCACAGGCACCTGAGTTTTTATCAGTAAGTCTCTAAATTAGCCAAATATCGAAACATTCTCCCCCATCTATATATAAATACACAAGGTGTCCAACTCCATTTTGACCACCTGTTCGATTCAGGCTTCAATTAACTCATAAATCGGAAATGCCTACTGCTTTTCGTGCAGCATTTGGTTCAAATATGATATTTCTCGCTTTACATTTTTTCCAAAAGTTTAAATCTAACACAGTGATAATGTTATCAGCTAAACTTCATGCTGACTTCGAATTTCGTCACAGGGCCCGATTGCCATCAGCTGATGTCACGGAAATTTAATCTCGACACCAAATACTCCTATACATAAAATTTTTTTAATACAACAATTTTTAATTTATTTCATTGACAAACAAAATCAGAAAAAAAAATAAAAACCGAAAGACTATGTTGTTTTGATAGTCTTGATTTTATTTAACATATGTTATATGTGTTAGAAACAAATCATAGGTACTAGGTAGAGGCTCTGTTGAAGTTTCCGTTGTCGATAGGTAGCGCCTTATGGAAGTTTCCAGTGTCGAGAAAAATCGGACACATGCCATAAAGTGGTTAGCGAAGCTAACCGCTTAAAAATCAACTATTGACAGTTAAATTTTTGTCTTTGAAAGGGAGGTGTTAAAGTGAAATTTTGTGTGAAGTTGTTTGTATAATTACTGCTTGATTTATATATTATCTTAATCTTGTTGATTTGTAGTAATTGCTCGAAGCTACAGACTGCAGTGATCTGTTTATGTGATAAGGTCTTGACCGCTCATTACGATTTGGCTGGGAAATTTAGCTCTTGAATCTGCATTACTGACTTCTATCACCCGAGTCTCAAGGCGATTGAATGTCCGAAGTGCTGGCCATGAGAAAATGTAGAATTCATAGTATTCACAATTAACGGGTTAATTTAGCAGTGATTGACAGTCTGTAGGTTGGGCAGTTCTTAGTATTTAGCGTAGAATTTGTGTGTTCTATTAGTTACTCAGTCGGGTCCTGTGTGTAAAGTGTTACACGGGAATACAAAATAAACTTTGTTGGAAACTTTGGGTGTTTTTATTTAAAAACAGAATGTTACGGTGTATAGCATGTAGGCAATATCTTTGATACGAATAATAAGAACGGTTTAAGTTTTGACAGACAGAGATCCTGATCACTTAAGTGGAAAAAAAACAATTAAAGGATCCTGGGCACAGTTTCAACTGATCTTTTAAAATCAATTTTAATGTTTACAATTCCTACCTAAGCCATCATTTATTGATAAGCAAAATTTGAACATCATTTGTTGATTAACAAACAAGAAACAGAATCTAAAGTTCTTCATAATATAATCAAGGCGCGTGCCTTCTTTTTCTTTACATATACATGTAGGACATTTCATATTTATAACAAAATGAAGTTCAGCAAATCAATAGTACATGTAACTGTCAAATCGTATTTAAAATTATCTTTTCTTTGAAATTATCTTCTTTGAACGAACGCATATTAGTATATTAACCTATGTAAATAAAACATGACAATAGCTTGTTTACATAACAGAGGTTTGGAGCTCTGAATCTGTCTTGAATGTGAAAAAACAACTGGCGTTCAATTTTTATTATGATCACGAGAAAGACCCTGTAGTGATCAGTCATTGCTTATCTTAACTTATTCCTATTACTGTAAGCCCCGCCTACACGTGATGATGGACATAACTCAACACGTGCTTCAGTGACTTTATCCTAAGTGTTTCTCTGGATGTTCAGTAGTCGCTTGTATTCTGTTATATGTTAAATATGTGTTTAGCTAGATAAAGAGTATAAACAAAGAATTACAGATTTCCTTATGTATTAAAAGGAATATAACATGGTGTCAGAAGTGAACAGTGAATGTTTCATCTTTTATTCGGTGGAGAGAAATTAACCATGGCAGAAGGTCATTTCAAGCAACCTCCGGAGATGGACTTCTCTCACGAAGGAAACCTAGCAGAAAAATGGAAAAGATGGAAACAAACTATGAATCTATATATCATGTATATGGATGTTGCCCAAGTGACAAAAGTGAAAAAGAAAAATGTAAAGCTCTTCTATATGTAATAGGTCAGGAGGGAAGAGAAATCTACAACACGTTTGCATTCGCTGCAGGTGATGTAGACAAATTGGATGTTTTAATCAGAAAATTTGAAGATTTCTGCATCCCCAAAACAAACATAACGGTTGCGAGACATAGATTCAACACAAGGGTACAAGGACCAAGTAAACGCATCGACCAGTACATCACGGAATTGAAATTGATTGCAAAAGACTGTAGCTTTGAAAACCTGGAAGATGGCCTAATTAGAGACAGAATTGTCTGTGGAGCATTTTCATCTAGAGTGAAGGAACGACTTTTACGTGAGGACAACCTCAGTCTTGAGAAAGCTGTGAGTTTGTGTCGAGCAGATGAAGAGTGTAGAAAACAAATCAAAACAATCAATGAGGAGGAAAAAGTCCATGCTCTCAAAAAGACATTTGTGAAACAAAGAAACCCTGACAGCAGACAAAGAGGAACTCCAAAAAAAACAAGTCAAGAAATGTTCAACTGTGGAAGATGCCGAAAGAAACATGAAAAAGGAAATTTTCCAGCGTACGGAAAAACTTGTTACAAGTGCAAGAAATCCAATCACTTCCAAAAAATTTGTAAATCGAAAGGATTCACGAAAAGGAGAGTGTATAATTTGCAAGAAGGATCAAGTGATTCTGAATGTGAGGATTACAACTACTTTGTTGGAGCGGTCAACAAGAAAACTGAAATATCTGATAATTCATCCTTTACCAGTTTCAAAGTTCAAGGTAAGACAATTAAGTTCAAAATTCACACTGGATCCAAAGTTAATATGCTTCCAAACTCAATCTTCCAAAAGCTGAATGATGTCAAACTCACAAGAACAAATGCAATGTTAACGAGCTTCTCAGGAGACAAACTCAAGGTGTTAGGAAAATGTCAACTTCATCTACAAAACAAGGAACTTGAATTCTTTGTGACAGAAACAGACCAGTTCCCACTGTTAGGATTTAAAGCCTTAAATGAAGCGGGACTTATTCATGATGTCATGAACGTTCAATCCGAATTGGACAATCCAATCAAAGCATTTCCGAAAGTATTTTCCGGACTAGGGTCTCTGAAAAAACCCTATCACATTAAACTGGACGAGTCGACAACTCCGGTCATTCATCCTTCAAGAAACCTAGAGCTTTGCGCGATAGATTGAAAACTAGTCTTGATGAAATGGAGGAAAAGGGTGTTATCCGGAAAGTTGATGAACCGACAGACTGGGTAAACTAATTGGTAGTGATTGAAAAACCAAAATCAAAGAAACTGAGAGTATGCCTTGATCCAAGATCCCTTTATCGTGGAATCAAAAGGGAACATTACAAACTTCCTACTATAGAGGATATTACCACATGCATGCCAGGAGAAAAATTGACTGCAATATTGGCAAATCCCTTTAGACAGAGAGAGTCAACTTCTAACAACATTCAACTCGCCATTTGGTAGATACTGCTTCCTACGAATGCCATTTGTGATTAATTCCCCTCAAGAAGTATTCCAAAAACGTATTTCACAACTGTTTGAGGGACTTGAAGGAGTGGAGACTGACTGAAGAACACGATGACAGACTGCGTGCAGTACTATGCAAATGTCAGGAAGTAGGACTTACACTCAATGCAGAAAAATGCAAATTCAGAATGAAGGAGTTACCTGCATAGGACATTTACTCAGTGCAGATGGAGTAAGGCCAGACAAAGAAAAAATCAAAGGAATTATTGAAATGCTATCACCTACAGACAAAAAAGGGAGTTCAACAGTTACTTGAAACTGTAAATTACCTAGCAAAATTTGTTCCTAACATGTCAGCTGTGACAGATCCAATCAGAAAACTATTAAAAGAGGAAAATGAATTCGTGTGGACACATGAACAAATTTGGCAATGGAGAAAATAAAAGATGTGTTGACGAGCAATCCTGTTCTCAATTATTTTGATGTGACAAAATCAATTACAGTTAGCTTTGATGCATCAAACACTGGGTTGGGCGCAGTTCTCTTACAGGAAGGGAAACCGATAGCCTATGCATCAAGATCTTTATCAGATGCTGAACCCGTTATGCCAACATTGAAAGAGAGTTGTTAGCAGTTTTATTTGGTTTAGAGAGATTTAACCAATACACATATGGCCTAGATGTTTTCGTTGAATCAGATCACAAACCATTAGAGTCCATTGTGAGAAAATCCTTGGGAGACTCACCGCCAAGACTTCAAAGAATGCTGCTCAGACTGCAAAAATACGATTTCACACTGATCTACAAACCAGGGAGAGACTTAATCGTACCGGATATGCTGTCAAGAGCACCGATTAACAGATCAGATGGTCAGATAATCGAGGATGAAATTGAATGTTTTGTAAACATGATAGTTAAAAACATGCCTGTTTCTCACGATCAAGCGTCAAGGAAACAGAAAATGATGAAATCATGAAAACACTGACAACGCTAATAAGAAATGGATGGCCAACAGAAAAAAGAGAAGTTCCAAAAAACTTGCAGATTTATTGGCAATACAGGAATGAACTCTCAGATGTAAATGGAATTATCCTGAAAGGAAAAAACATCTTGATACCATCTCAAATGAGAAACCAAATGCTCAAAAATTACATGAAAGTCATTTAGGTATCGAGAAGACAAAGAAACTAGCAAGAGAATTCATATTTTGGTCTGAAATAAATGCAGAAATAACTGATGTTGTATCAAAATGCAGCATTTGTCTTGAAAGCAGAAACTCGCACACAAAAGAACCAATGAAAATTTCAGAAATACCAGACCTACCATGGAAAGCAGTAGGGACAGATTTATTCCACTGGAACAACAATAATTATCTAATGGTTGTTGATTATTACTCAAGATACTTTGAGATAGCAAAGCTTGAAAATACAAAAGCTACATGGGTCATCAATCATTTGAAATCAATTTTTGCAAGACATGGCATTCCTCAATATGTTAGGACTCAGCTATGTTAAGGACCGATATGGAAAATGTGACCGTTGCACCGTTTTGATATGTATTGCTTCTTTTAAAAAAATTTAACAAAGCAACTGAATACTTGTAGAAAATGTAATATAGCTATCAATAATGGATAGGACTGGGCTGTAGTTATTACCAATTATATCGCGCGTATCAGCTGTTTGTCACGTGACTTGTATAAAAATAGAATTGTAAAGCTGAATGTAGGAATTGTGGATAGTGCAAGGGCATACGTTTGTTATCAAGAAAAAAAATTGATACACATTAAAAGAGGTTTATATCCTCTACCCAAAAAGCGCTGGGAGCTAGCTAGTCAGTGCTGTTTGCGAAGTACCGGTACTTGAAATGTTGCGGAAAATGCTTATTATATCTAAAAGTTAGCACTTTGCTAAAATTCTGTTATAAATAAAATTAATGTTATGTAGACCAGGATCAGCTCCCAGTACTTTTCGAAATATACTCTATATGAGTAATAAATATTCCAAATTTCAGCTCAAACAAAATAGTTTTTCAAAGTGTCAAAGTTTTCGCCTAAGTTTTTCAAAGTGTCAAAGTTTTCGCCAAAGTTTTTCAAAGTGTCAAAGTTTTCGCCAAAGTTTTTCAAAGTGTCAAATTTTCAAAGTGTCAAAGTTATCACTATAGTTAACTATAGTAAACTATATAGTTAACTATAGAATTTTTTTGTTAGGGTTAGATCATTATTTGAAATAACTGCATGGTCATTTGGTTAATTTCACATAAGATTGTTTATCTTTATAATATATGTTGTGTTCATAGTAATTCCTTACTTTTATCTTTTCTCTATTAATATGTATTTCAGAATTGTAAACATTCATTATGAGCTTTAGAAGGAGGTTGTAGTGATCAGTCATTGCTTATCTTAACTTAATCCTATTACTGTAAGCCCCGCCTACACGTGATGATGGACATAACTCTACACGTGCTTCAGTGACTTTATCTTAAGTGTTTCTCTGGATGTTCAGTACTCGCTTGTATTCTGTTAAATATTTAATATGTGTTTAGCTAGATAAAGATTATAAACAAAGAATTACAGACTTCCTTATGTATTAAAAGGAATATAACAGACCCTACTTAAATATTTGTAAAAATGGAAAAAATAAAATTTGAGATTATAGCAGAATAATACGAATACCCCTTTAAGACTAGGTAACATGCATAATAAAAAATCCTCTAAAAATATCTTGAGAGTTGCGCGACGAGGCTCCGGGATGTAATCAAGACAAATGATAAAAGATAGATAAAACTGATACGGAATTTATCTTTAGATGGTAAAAATGATTACTCAACGGATAAATCTTTGCATTTAAAAAAGAAAAAAAAATACCTGTTTTCGGTCTTCATATACCCGTAATTTTCTGTACCTATCTTTATCGAAATAAACTTGTCAGTTGATGCCAAATATGATAAAGATGTACAATTTATCTATCCTGTTATCTACTTTGTGTAAACAGTTTTATAACAAATCAACCTAACACGGACAATTTACTTGCTTTGACTGGTACTGACAGATATATTTAAATACTGATATAGGGTATAATAAGATGCACCACTTTAGACGTAAAGGCTGATAAGACAGTAGACATTTAATGTCTTGCATTCGTTTGAAAAAGGGGGCCCATGAGTCTAAAGAGTCATCTGAGTATAGCACACCGTTGTACGGGGCTTGTCCCTTCATTCCATTTACAGGCGTACTTTGGGTGGAACCTGGTGTCATGTATTATGGAAACGCTATTAAATATAAAGATTAAACTAAACATTACTAAAGAAAATATGGGACAATCATTGCACAATTACACAGATTATCAGCCTTGGAATAAAACATTTTATGGTATGGTGTAGGAACGGGGCTCAATGACGAACAATTGGATTATAAACCAAATTATGTTGACGTTTGGAGTTAAAGTGAAGAAATATACTGTATGTGATAAGAGTGTTCAAAAGGATATGGAGATTACGAACAGTATTTAATATCAAAGTCCATTAAACAATAAAAAATAGGAGTAGAGCAAACATTGACCTTAGAAACTTCAGAGGTTGGATCAGGTGCCATGGAAGAGTGAGCATCCCCTGCGGTAACATCCGCAGTGTGCTCCTTGTCATGATCGGGAAAAAAAAACGGAAAAAAATCCGTCGCCTATTCAGTGTATAAATAATGAACTAATAAATAGTATGAGAAACATCTGTCAGCATTTGACTAATGATAAATTGTATTTACTGACAAGGTCATTGTACCGACTATAGAAACTTAAGAAATGATGCCTTTAAACGAGACTGTTGATGTTCTTATTTCAGTGCTTTTGGCGGAGAGAAACTTCCGCTAATTCAAGTACAATGCTAAATGTCTTGCACATATACACATAAATAGGAACACTGAGAAATGCACTAAATCAAATCTATGCTAACTTGTTCAAAAATCAATTTCCGCCAAATATCGTACACGCTAAATATTATAAATTTACAGTGTCTTAAAAACATTCTTCTGCATTGTAAGGGAAAAGCAAATTTTTTTTAAAAGAAAAAAATCATTAACGTTATAATGTTAATCAAACCACCCCATTCAAAATACATAACATCCCATTGCTTAGTAACTATTTGGATTTTAAACATCCAAAAATATAACTTTCGGACAGTGTGTTTTCTTTCGTAAAACAAAGATTTCTATTTAATTGCAATATTTTCAAAATTATTCAGAATAAAACAGGAAATAAAATAAGTTAGTTTACATCAATCATAGAACTCATGCAACATATTATTAACATTATACCTACATTATAACTCTTTTCGGAAATCCCCATCAGATATAAATGGTAAATCCTTTAAGATCCCGAGTATATTCTTCAATCTAACAGCCGGTCACTTATTTAATGCCATTCCAGATTCTAAAAGATGGTGACATTGAAAGAAGTTGAAAAATTTTTTTCTTTACCTGCATAGCCTTATCTTATTATCAGGGTATTTAAACGTCAGTATCAATTGTGTCTGCTTATCAAGGACATGTTAGGTTCTACAAATATTTGCGTAACTTTAAAAATCAATATCATCTAGATATTGTGGTAACTGCATTGGAGTTTGAAAATGTTGACATTTCATAGCATTGTCTGCGTGCATATATCACATGTATTAAGTTATAAATGTAAACGGGAATCCGTTACACACAAAAAAATGAAAAAAG